GAAAAAATTCCAATTCTGCCCCTGATATTCCTCATGCTGTCATTTTTTTTTTTAATTTGGTGGCACACTTTTGAAACTTCACAAATATGTTGTATTTAGTGCCAACTTTCCGAAAGCATCCCAAAGTTATTAAAAAAAAAAAAACAATTATGATTTTTTCGAGTGCAAATGAAAAAACCTAGTAAATAAACGTTTTAAAGCTAAAACTACTCAAATACTTGATTTCACAAAAAGTTCTTTCTGATGTTAGAACTTCTCTGAGACTTAACGTTATCGATAATATTAATACTTAGAGAGAGAGAGAGAGTTTTCTCTTTTCTCGTTTTTACAAAACCAGAAACCAGAAACCAGAAAATTCCATTCAATTTATTTTTAAATCAATTGCCCGTTGACGGAACTCTAAAGCTGGCAAATTAGCTGCTTTTACAGAGGACTTTACATAGATTTTTTAAGGCTTTTGACAGGATGTCTCATATGATATGATATTTGATAGCTAAACTAGTAGGTCTAGGCTTTCGTTCTGAGTTCGTGAAGTGGTTTAGACCCTATCTGGATAATAGGCGCTGTGTCTGTCGTTTTGATAATGTATCATCTTCCCCAGGATGGTGTTATTATTTAATGATATTTCCTCCTGTTCCTCAGTATTGGTAAATGTCATGTACCTCTTGTGCAAACGTGATTAGTTCTTTTTAAAACATTAAAGTCAAAAAAACAAAAAAATGAAGTCAAAAATATATATCTTTTTAAAACAATAAAAAAACCTCGTTTAAAAAAAAGAAAATAAATAAAAAAATTTAAAATAAAATCTAAAAACTAAAAGAAAATGGAATAAAAAAATTAGTTTAAAACAAAGAAGAAAGTAAAACAAGTCACTAATAATTAAATGAATTGGAAAAAATATATTTTTTTCCTTTTAAAACAACTAAAGGGAAAGCACTTAAAACAAACATAAACCCAAAATCAAAAAACCTAAAAACTAAAAAACAAAAATGAGAAAAGAAAAGAAAAGAAAAGAAAAGAAAAGAAAAGAAAAGAAAAGAAAAGAAAAGAAAAGAAAAGAAAAGAAAAGAAAAGAAAAGAAAAGAAAAGAAAAGAAAAGAAAAGAAAAGAAAAGAAAAGAAAAAAAATAAAAGAAATAAGTTCCCAAACATTAACAGCCAACTTCACACAAGCAATTTAAGGGAAAAATTATTTAATTTTTTTAATTTCATATGAAACAACAACGATGAAATTAAATTAAATAAGTTCCTAAAAATTTAATGAAATAAAAAAAAACTATTTTGTAAACAAGCCCTAAAATTTAAAAGAAAACTTAATTAAAAAAAAAACTTTATTACATACTAAATAAATGAAAAAAACTATTTTTCTTTTAAGAGCAATAAAATCTATAAATTATAAGAAAATGAAATTAAAAAAAAGATTATAAAAAAATTAAATAATAAAGAAAGAAAATTTATCAAAAAAAGAAATCAAATTCCGCTGCCTGGGGATTCGAACTTCGGATATCTCGAATGACACGCCAGTGTTTTGCTCACTCGGCCAATGCGACTGTTGGAAAATAAACAAGCGCTTTCTGACTCAAAGAGCATTTCACCATGAAAGTTGGTAAAAGAGCTTTTTTTAAGAATTTCATGCCAGAATAATCACGTGCAACTAAATATCTTAGCCAGAACTGCCCCGTAAATCGAATAAAATGTATAGAAGGTTTATAGTTGAATCTTAAGCACTGGTATGATTTATGCACTATTTATGTGAATGTTATCAATACTTCCTTAGGTCACCACAAGGTTAACGGTCAATATGGCGCGCTAATCATACGTGACGATCCAGTTCTGATGCTCAACGCCAACACTTACGATTTCGATCTACCGGAACACTATATACTCATCTCCGATTGGATGCACACCTATGGCGAACAATATTTCCCAGGTGAGCCCAGTACAGCGGGTATATTTCCCGATTCGGTGCTAATCAATGGACGCGGTATTTATTATACCAAAGACGGTGTACGCGCACCGACTGTGGTACCACCAATGCGCTATTATGTTATACCTGGGAAACGCTATCGCTTTCGGCTGATCAACTCAATAAGTCATTCGTGTCCATTTCAGTTTCAGGTAATTTTTAGCTACTGATTGGATTTTTTTTTTTTTTGTAAATACTATAAATTACTCCCACTCCCTGTACAGATTGAACGCCACAATTTAAGCATAATTGCATCAGATTCTTATGATTTAAAGCCACGCTATATTGACACGCTAATTTCTAATGCCGGTGAGAGGTATGATTTTGTTTTGCTCGCTAATAACACGGCTGGCGACTACTGGATTCGAGTGCGTGGCATGGGTGTCTGTGCTATACTGCCTACAGAATCCTTTGCCTTGCTGCGCTATGTGAGCAATGATCCTGCAGACGAACCTGATGAGGAACGTCCGTTGCCGCCAATGCCGCTTTATAATGAGACCTTCGCCTCTGGCGTGGTAAGTTTATTTTTTATAATGGAAGTGGTAAGGTAGTTTTTTTAATATGAATATGAACATGAATAAGAATATGAATTTGAATATGGATATGATTATGAATATGAATACGAATATGAATATGAATAAGAATATGTATATGAATATGAATAGGAATATGAATATGAATTTCAATGTCGATATGAATATGAATATGAACGGGAATATTAACATGGATATGGATACGAATATCAATATGAATATAAATATAAATAAGAATACGAATGTGAATGTGAATATGGCTGTGAATATTAATAGGGGTATTCTCTGAGTCTTGCAAAGCCCTTGCACGGTGCACATATTGTACGGATTGCACGGTAAAAACCGGTTTTCGTATGGGACAGCTTTGCAAACCGTGCAAGGGCTTTGCAAGACTCAGAGAATACCCCTAATATGAAGATGAATATGATCGTATCGTTGTTTTCTTCCGCAGTACCTCGACCATCCCAACGGCACCTGTGGCGCGCCTGACAATTATTGTATTAGCGAACTTGAAGCACTGGAGCAGGATGAATTTCTACGCACTACCACGCCGGATCATCAATTCTTTTTAGCCTTTACAAATTTTCCTGTACCGAATAGCGAAATTTTCAAGAATGGCACTTACTATCACTTTGCAAGTTAGTATTTCAAGAGGTAGCTTTTCAACACTATTCCCACCTTACATCAGAAACTATCTGCCTATTCTTACAGATCTGCAAAATAATCTCACCATAGTGGGCGCTATTAACAACCTCAGTTTTATTTTTCCCAATTACCCGCCGCTGACGCAGCCGGAAGCAATGAACGATACGCAGTTTTGCACTGAACTTGAAAGGCCAGCCTCGTGTCTGGGCAATCGTCTATGTCCTTGCGTACATCGATTACACATTCATTACGGTAGCATCGTCGAACTGATATTAGTCGATGAAACGGAATGTGAGTATAGTTTTGTATGTGTATGCATTTTTGCGGAAATATGTAGGTCAACATATCTAAGTGTTTATTACTAAATAGTTGGCCACTGCACTTCAAAGCGCCAAAGTTCATATCTGTAGTTGCACTTCCCAAATTTGCACATTTTTCTATTTCACACAAATTTTTCGTACACACAGGTACTTATTTATTTATTTATTTAGTCCAAAATTCTCATAAGCTATATGTGTAAATGTGTGTGTGTGTGGGTGTGTGTGTTTGTTTCTATGTGCTCTATATTCTATGCATTGCTTAATTTTTTTTTTAGTGGTTGGCCGCTTGCATCATCCATTTCACTTGCACGGCCATCGCTTCATCGTAACTGGCTTGGGACGTGATTCGAGTGGAACGCCAATGACTGTTTTGGCTGCCAAGCAGTTGAAAGCCAACAATTTGTTGCCGCATAATAGCAACAACACAAGTCCACCATTCAAGGATACTGTATCGATACCGAGTCGCGGATATGCAGTTGTACGATTTCGTGCTGAGAATCCGGGTGAGTATCGAATATATTTGTGAGGCGAAATTGTTAGGAATTTTTAGATGAACGTAAGTAATTGTAAATAAAAAAATCGTTAAGTTAGTAAGTTATTCTGAGTCGAACAAAATGGGTTCTCAATACAAAGGTCACTGTGAGCTAACAACTTTTGGAGGTTGTTGAACTCGGCCAGAGTGGCTTAGGCGGTTACAGCGCCAAATAAGAAAAACTGAGTGATTTTTTATTTTTTTTTATTTTTTAAAGCGGGTAAAGAACGGAAACCTCACTTGCCGTAATTTTATTTTTAAGCTGAAAAAATGCGAAATTCCTCGAAATATCCTTTGTTGCAAAAAATGTTTCCATTATTTTTAAATTAAATGTAAGCTGGATAATAAAAACTATGATCCAATACTTTTCATATAAAATCCTGTAGAAACGTCAAATAGCAAAATTACTCTCGGAAGTGAGAGTAAAAAGTGAGTAACAACCAAAAATACGCGAACAAAAAAAAGCATTTTTCCTGTAAAAACGTCAAACAGCCGATCGCTTGAATTTTTTCATGATTTTACCAGAAGAAAAAGTTCGGATAAAATCTTGCAACTTCATTCTCTACACAACTTACCAAAAATCGCTCTCATTTACAGGATAATTTTTCCTGTAACTTCCTGCAAATTCGTGTAAAATGCTGTTCAAGTTCATGGAGTACTGGATCAGAGCTAAAATGTCCAAGAAAAAAGGCTGAGTACCAGGTTCTCAATATATTTGGGGTGTAACCACTTTATTAAATTTGTCGTAACCAGTACAATACTTTTTCATAACCACTTTGTGAATAATTCAGGACTATTTGAGCATCGTGTTATGAACTACCCCGATCTAGTTCAAAATTATGCTCAAATAGTCCTGAAGTGGCTCTCAAAAGTCGCGAAACTTGTCCCGAACTGATCTCAAACACGTATTGAAACGATTCCGAAATGGTCCCTTATTAGTCCCAAGATGATCCCTAACTAAACCTGAAATGTTCCTGAAATAGTCCTGAGTTAGTCGAACAATGTTCATCAAATAGTTGGGAACTAGTCCCAAAATGGTCCTGAACAGATTCCGAAATGAAATAGTCCTAAACACGTCATTAAATGATCCCGAATTAGTCCCGATACGATCCTAAACTAGTCGTAAACTATAACTAGGGATGAAACGATACGAGTACATACAAGTTCATAATCGATACTTTTCGATCGACACCAAGTAAATTTGTTATCGATACTTTTGAAACAAGTACTGAGTAGGTATCGAAAAAAAATACTCGTTTCGAAACCCGATACTAAAGCAAATTTGACCTCGGCAATTTTTCCACCACAGTTATTCCTGTTCAAGTGGAAGAGTGAACTGGATGAATGCTCAGTACAAACGTTTCAACGCGATGTTAAGCTAACTGGGTAACTCTATGGGTTTCTGCAGACCTTGGGCAAAATGCAAGGAAATTCATACGACTATCGGCAAATACTAAAGGTAGTGGGAGTCTTGCTCCGTTACTGTATAAAATAAACAAGAAGAAACTGAGTAGGGTACAAAAAGTTGATTTAAAAAAAATTCTTGGAAAAAACAAATTTAAACGCCATCTTCGCATCTAGTCTAGAGAAAAGTGGATATCTAATAGAAAAATTATTCTATATCGCGATATATAGATAATAGAAAATGTTTCGTATTTTAAATGCTTCTACGAATTTCTTTAAATAAAATTTCGTCCGTATTATTTGGTTTCTGTACTCTTCGCACTTCTAGTTTTGTGTGGAATTCTACCAGATAAAGTTATAAGGAGACATTTTTGAAACTATCGTATTTAAATCTTTGGCTCATAATTTTTGTACATAATACATTTCTACTGCATTGAAATCGTTAGAAAGACTTAAATTCCTGGGAAGTACAACAAAATAAGATTTTCTCAGAAAAATTGTATGAGAAAATATTTTTCTTAAAGGAGACTAACCCTCTGGTAACCTTTTCCAATGAATTGTCGGTGTTAAATACCATTGATCATGAAACATATAATTTGGAGTTTAGGATTCCCAGATAATAGTTAACTTATGACATAAAAAAACGAGATTAAACGTATTAAGTTAACAAGGAATACCTTAATAGCCAAAAGTATCGATACGAGTAGGTATCGATACTTTAGATCCGATACTTTCTTTCGCTGCTACTTCCGAGCGAAAGTATAGCTACCTGCATGGTAACGTTTCATCCCTTAATATACCCGGTCATAAGAGTTTTGCCGCTTTATATGTTGGGGCTCTCCATCTATCAAGGAGTAGACCACAGGTTTCCACAGGAACTCCTTTGGCCTTTCTAGTCGAAGAGCTAACCCCAATGATATCCTGCCTGGTGAAATCATCAATCATGTAATTACGTGCAATTTCACTCTATCTTGGGACTAAAGGCAATATGATTTGGTAGTAGCCCAAATATATCGGGATATAAGTAAGGTATTCCCCGAACAGCTTCGGTCATGCCATAAATGATCCGAAAGCCTTGGAAGAATGCATTCGTAGTCAGCCTAACTCTTGAGGCAATAGAAATTTCCGGGTTGAAGGAGAAACTAGTGTTTTCTACGCTGATGGCGGAATGAGCTTCGCCTCCTTTACTTGAAATGTCTACACAAATGCAATGGTAGGTGTGATTCGGAGCGCACCGCTGTAGACAATAATTGACTGGCATACGGTTTTATATAAGTCAATAGATTACCTTTGGAGAAAGGCTTGCCCGTGGAGCCTTCTTACCCGTTTCTCAATATTTGACTTTCACGCTAGCTTTCTGTCTACGATCGCGCCCAAATAAGTATTTTACCCTGCCAGATAGCACAAACGGAATGCCAAGGTTGGAAGCTTGACCTTAGGTACCTTATGCATATCTACTGGTGGTGTTCCTCTGTTCTTAACTAAATTACCTTAGAATAGAAATAGAATATCATTTCTACATGTGTGTACATTAGAGTGGTCCAATTTTTGTATGGGGGCTTCCCCTTTTTCCATTTTGATATTTGTAATATCTATACCAACTTTCAATTTTCTACTGTACCCAATACATGGTGCTCAATGACCTTGAAATTCGCTACTGGATTGCTGTGAAAGTTGCAAAAATATTAGTGATTTTTATGAAAACCTACTGTTGCCATGGCAACTGAAGCTAGTGATATGCTTTTAGATAATTTAAATTTGAAATGTTTTTGAGTTGCTTAATCAGTTGTCTGATTAATATCTTTCTACCTTTGGCTAGACCGAAGTGGCATATTTAAAAAAAAAAGTGAAAATTTTTTGAGTACGAATAATTTAAGTTGTCCTTAGTTGGCAAGGATTAGCTTAAAATTCTCTATTTATTTAGCGTAAAATGTCTTTCGGTCAAAGGAGACAAGAACTCAATTTCCATGAGTCTAATAAGGTGTTTATGGGTACCAAATTTTTTAATAGAACATCCTTTAATAGCCAAATATATCTTATTTAGAAACACTTTTATTCAAATTTTCTTAAATCCTGCAAAAGTAACTCAACTTCGCCTTTGAAATTTGTGCACTCATGTAAAAAAAATGATTGTGTTTACTATAAGTACGTATGAACACTCATATGTATATACATAACTACCCATATGGAAAAGTTGTATGTACGTACATAGTTCATTTGAAAATAAATAAACAAAACTCAGTCCTAACAATCCTCTATAGAGTAAAGTACTCAGCAAGCTGTGGCCACACATTTTGTTCGTCCAGCTTAACAAATGTATTTTCAATTTGAAGCAATTTTCCAAACCATTAGCCCACGACGATGATACTCATAAAACTGCAAGTAACTACCATGAAACTGACATAAACGCCAGAACTAAAGTAGTGCAATATTGGCAATATTTCTTGTATACCGTAAATAATTTGAAGACACAATTAAACTGAACCACACTGAACTTATAAAGCAGGATGCAGTATTTTGTTTTTTCTTCTAGTTTTTGTTTGCTTGAGCAAAACTAAATTGTTTCGGGCGTCATACACATACATATGTAGAGTGGGGGGCAAATAGCAAGGAAAGTGACATTTTAACAATATTTGGCTATTTTTTCTTTTGTTTGTATTAAGTTTATTATATTTTTAGAAACGTTTAGCTCACTATCTATTAAAAACCATATAAATCTGAATTTCAAACTTTGTACAAAACTAAGGAATGTTCGACAAAATTTCATCAGAGTTCCAAACTTGTTGAACAGAATTTCTTCCATAAAAATTATGTTCGACAATTTTATAAAAATTTTTACAAATAAACGGTACGTCCTAGCTAGTTCAAACTTGTATTTTAAAATTTAAATTCTTAATAAAAAGTAGGAAACTTTAATAAAAATTTGTTGAATTTCGAAAATTTTTTCCTAATTTTTGTAAGAATTTTAAAATTTTGATTTACATGATTTTTGTTAGATTGTGAGATATACTTTCATAAAAAATAATAAACATTAAACACAAAAAGAAAACTAGCCAAAATTTGTTAAAATCTGGCTACCCTATTTTTTTGCACGTCATCGTATGTACTTACTTAGATGAATGTTACTCATACGCCATGTTCGATGACACAGCGGTGGTTTTATGTATACTAGGGTGGTCTTTGATGTAGGAAAGCAAATTTTTACATCAGATTTCCTAAAGCCCCCCACATACATATTTTTCCTTTGGCACCTGTGCGACACGCCTTAAACGTTTTATGTAATGTCAGTGACCGTGGTATTACCGATTGAAGTGGGTAAACCGAAAAAAATCATTGACTTGATTTTTAAGGACCACCCTAATGTATACATCTGTATGCATGTATGTAGTGTTGGGCAGTATCGATACCACAAGTACTCAGAACTCGATTCTCGAAAGGATCGAACACACCCGATTTTTAAAAGCATCGATACTGAGCACTCCAAAGAACTCAGTACTCAAAAAAGAACTCGAAAGTACTCAGTACTCACAAAGTACTCAGAGTCGATTCAATGTACTCAGTATTTTAAATAGCTGTGATTACAGAGCTTTGAACACTTACTTATTACACTGTTTAAAGTATAGGGAGCTAGTTTTAACGGAATTCTCATAAACTACACAAAATTTTTGTTTCTTTTCTTCTTCTTAGTTTTTAAGTTGCCAGTATAAATTTTCCGACTATCGACCTATTATGTCATAGCCGTATGTTCGTATTTTCATCCGTTTATAAATATTAAACATTAATTGTATCTGATATAATAAAAAAGAGAACATTTTACTACTACTACTACTACTACTCAGTATTAAGTGTCGAATAAATATTTTAAAAGTACTGTGTTTTATTTATTTAAGTTTCAATAGTTTTCAAGTACTAATTTGAATAAAAAGCTGTCAGCTTGTGAGATATCCACACGAAGCATTGAAATGTTACCAACTGTTGCGAATTTAAAGATGGTACTCAGTACTCTCAAAAATACCCGATCCTTAAAAGTATCGATATCAAAGAATTCGATCTTCAAAAGTTCAAAAGTAGTCATGGGAGTATATTAAAGCGCCGCCTCCAATTACGATTCTAGATGCGACCGTGAATATTTTTAGGGATCTACGGCTAAGTTTCATTCTGAGATGGCCTCCAAATAAATGGATGTGCAAAACCTTAATTCGCAATTTAAGCAAGATACCGTATAATCTGTGCTGCCTCTGCTGCTCGCCCGAATAGTGTTTTGCCGAAAGATTATACAGTGGCTATCAATCTGCGGATTTAGCAGCATGGTTCTCCACGAGTAAGTCAACGGACGGTAAACTGAAGATTCTTTCTCTAGCAGCCGTTGGGCGCGAGCCGGCATTTCACCACACCAAGGTGACCTTAAATAGTATTGGTCTGACTATAATGTGTGTAGCACCTATGCAACAGGCCAGATGACAGAACCCAAGTGACTCAAAGTATTCTTTCCACAACAATGCGCCTCCACAGCAGTATACCATCCTTCACCACTCCCGGATAATTTGTGTGATCATTGACACGAGCACATGATATATGGTCTTGTGAAGGGCACATCTACCCGAACAATAACAAATCCCAAACAGAACTAGGCCAAAAAAGATATATTTACCACATTGATAGTATATTTCTGCACGGCTTTGGCTTAGAAATTATGCCCCTGCACATCTCTACTGTCAACCAATTGGTGCTCAAATTTCAAAATCCGCATGTAAAGCTCACTTTGGCACTTTAATGCGAGTGTAAAAAAAAAAACACTTATAAATATTTTCAAATTTCGTACCGAAAACTGCTGCACAATTGCCCAGCTCAATGGATAGTAAATACCAGATTATATATATAACTTAATATTTTAGCTAGCGTTCTCTGACTTCTGCGATATTAGACACAAAATCACCACATCCAAAACTAGTTGATTAGCTTTCATATTACACCGGAATATGTTATATAGATATGCAAATGAGTACATAAATGTAGGTATTAGTATTGAAAATTCTAATTTTAATTACCAAAAATAATTTAATATATTCTTAATGCACACATCCATATATATGTATGTATAAATATGTTTACCTTATTTTATCAACTAATATCAAAACATGCCATTTCACTTTCCATTTACCAGGCTTTTGGTTGATGCACTGCCACTACGAATGGCATCTGGCCATCGGCATGGGCTTAATACTACAAGTGGGCAATATGAGTGAAATGGTGCCACCACCAAAAGGCTTCCCTAGTTGCGGTAATTACCTGCCCGAACTGGACGAGTTCGAAGGATTGTCCGCGAAAAACTATTTTATGTAGCTAATGAAAATATTGTAATGAAAAGTATGTACTGAGTATTTAAATAGAAATTCATGGAACAGTAGTAAAATCGTTTACAAATGTTTAGGTGTGTACAAGTAAAACTACTTATTTATGTACATCCATGTATGTATGTATGTATGAACACTAGGCTGCATCACCTTATAAGCAGACCAAAAAAAAAGTTCGCCGTGTACCTTTGAATCTAAAGTATTTTTGCAAAGCAATCAAAAATTAATTTTTTGGCCAAACAAAGGGGTTTCTTTTTGGATTTCGGTGACACCTACATTGGGAGTTAAAAAAATTTACAAAGTTCTACTGAAATACTCAAAGTACTTCCTTCGTAAAAGTTTAATGATTTTTGACGGGCTTTACCGGGAAATTCTGTCAACTATCTTTCGCATCACAACAGTTTTTCCAAAGATAAAAGTCTTTCGTATACAAATGTCTCTTTTCTTTCTTCCGAAAGACTAATTGAGAGATCTAACAAGTTATTCTGTTTATTTTTAGAAATAAGTTTTCTAAGAATTAAATTAATTAAAAAAAAATTCTTTTATAAACATATATTTAAAATATTTAAAGAAATTAAAATAAAATAAATAAATTAAAACAGAAAACGAAATCAAAAGGTTAAAAACGTTAATATTTTTTTCTTTTTGAAACAATCAAATCTAAAAATTTAAATAAAACAGATATAAAAACAGAAAAATTAAAAAAATATATATAAAATTTTAAATCTAAATGAAATTATAGAAAAATAGTATCCTTTCTGAAATAGTAAAATATATAAATTAAAAGAAACTTCTGCTAAAAAATTAATTACATTACAAAATTCTAAAAGTTTTATAGAATTTAACAGATGTTTGTCTTTTCAAAACAATAAAACCTGAAAATTAAAAAAAATTAACGACAGTGAAATTAAGATAAAAAATTAAATAGTTTTCAAAAAACTAATTGGAATTGAAAAAAATCTTAAAACAATAAGACCTAAAAATTTAAAGAAAACAAAATTGAAAAAAAGAAAGAATTATTAAAAAAAAGAAAAAGCATAAAATAAAATTTTGTTTAAAAAATATGTTTCTTTGTTTAAACAAAAACATAAAAATTAAAATCGACTTGAATTAAAAAAAAATTATATGAAATAAAAACTATTTCAATTAAATTTACGAAAGACTAATTGACAGATCTACCGAGTTATTCTATTTATATTTTAGAAATAAGTTTTCTAAAAATTAAATTAATTAAAAAAAAATTTTTTATAAACATATATTTAAAATATTTAAAGAAATTAAAATAAAATAAATAAATTAAAACAGAAAACGAAATCAAAAAGTTAAATAACGTTAATATTTTTTTCTTTTTAAAACAACAAAATCCAAAAATGTAAAGAAAATTAAATTAAGAAAGAAAACATTTAACTAAGACAGAAGAACGAAATCGAATAACTTTGAAAAATGAATAAAATTAAAAACAATTCTCTAAAATAATATAACCACTAATTTTTAAGCAAAAAACAAAAATTCTTATATGAGTTCAGTCAATTTCTTCATCATCCAATGATCAAATATAAACCATATAGGTATCATACTTGCCTTACCTTACCTATACTACCATGGAGGTACCACCTTTCCATTAAAAAACTAATTATTGAAATCGGTTAACGTGGTTCAAAGCTATGCGGTAATATACATAAAAAATTAAAAAAATTAAAATATTTCGACGAATTGATAACGTTTTCTCCTTTTTTTGAAGTCGTTAAAAAAAGAAAAACAAAATCATAACATAATACAAAAAATGATTTAAAATTTAAGGAATTCAAAAAAATGTTTTTTTTTAAACAATAAAACATATACAGTGAAAGAAACTTAAAGTAAAAAGTAAAAAAAAAAATTAGAAAAAATAGTCCAACAAATTTATAAAAAATAGTTTTCTTTTTAAAATAATAAAATCTTAAATTTTAATGAAAATTAAATTAAACAGAGAAAAGAATTGTTTAAAAAAACGAAGTCAAATAATTTTCTAAAAACTAAATGAAATCAAAAATAAATCTTCTTTAAACAATAAAACCTAACAATGTAAAGAAAAGTAAATAAAAAGCTTTCATTTAAAAAGAATTTGGGGTGGTACATTAGGTTTCTATGAACTGAGAATTGGTGGGTAAGAACTGGAACAGGAAAGGTTAGGTTAATAAACTTTGGAACAAAAAACTCTCTCCTCGAATCAAGAACATCGATAGATCATACTTTAAGATCCTACTTTAAGTGCCGAAAAAATAACAAAAAATTAAAAAAAAAATCTAAATTGCTTTACAAAAATTCTTTAGATTCAGGTAGAACTTTTTTCAGCGATACCGTCTAATGTACATACATATTTGTATAGTAAGAGCTTTTCGCTTTATGTCTGTAAGTATGTATGTAATACTTAGCAGTTGTGTCCGGCAGGCAAATAAATTTTGCGCATTTCACTATGGCACGCGGACAAATGAAATTCCAACTAAACATTTGCCAGTGCAGCAAGGTGAAAGTTTTCCATTAAGCAATTTTTTGTTGTTGTTTCATTATTTGTTTGCATTTCATTTTGCTAATTTATGTCGCCATTTTTGCTGTCATTTAAGAGCGTGAAGCATTTTTATTAGCACGGTTTGTTATTTGTTGTATGCATCTGGGTAGATTAATCATCAACATAATTGTGACATAAATTAGCAAACAAAACAAATGCGCGCACGCACACAGGCTAGCGAGGTGGTGTTACGTAACGTGCTACAGTTAAATCTGGAATGCCAGTATTCCTTGCAGCACAACTAGGAGGCGAGTATCAGTAGTAATCAAATGACTGGATTTGTTTTAATTTTTAATGGCAAAGTTCAAAGTCCTTTCAGAGTTGAGAACATTTCCAATGACTTTATGGATAGAGCATCGAAGTAATCAAGCGGGAATACATTTCCAATAGACCAAGCTCCATAGCCTGGATGCCACACTTCCACGACGATCCACAGGAAGTGCTGGAATGGATTCGCATGGCCTACCCTGAGCTACCCACCCATGCCATGATTGGAAAATAGCAAAGATAGGCCAAATCGACGGCAAACGCAGGCTGGCGGTTATAGTCCTCAACGTAGAGTCAATAGAACCGCTTGGCAACCAAAACTGGAAGGTAAACTATGGCTTACAGGTACTGAACCTTCATGCCTATAGACAAGATGTGTCAGGGAAACTAGTCCTGTCCGAAACAGTAGAGGCCATACCAAGGACAAAGTGGCATCCAACTCCGAAATGGTAGGCGAACTCTTTGAGAGAGTAACTCTGGAATATATGGATCTCAAAACTTTTCATTTGAAAATACTTTTTTATACATTTTCAAATACTAGTTATAGCCTAACAGATACCAAGTTTGAAGAAAAAGCAGAGAATACAAACAAGTTGGAAAGCTCATCTTTGTCATTTACCTTGTCGAAATGAGTGCATTCATTATCCTTATTAATGAAGTAAAAATATTAAAAGATTATGATTATGCAAACTTCACACAGCGGAGAAGACTGTTAACACTCAAGGATTCTTAGTTCGGTAAGCAATGCAAAAGAAATATTTCCCATTAGTTCGTCGTATTTAGGACTAGGCAGGGCCGTGGCAGGGAAAGTGATCGATGATCTTTACCACACATCATCCTCCCTTAGAGGAGAAGTCTTTACGGCAGTCTCTGAGCTGATGGAGAGACCATCTAATAATTCGTGGCCTACTTGTGGCTGACTTGTTCAATAAATATAGATCTGAGCCATAAGTGGTTTATTTGAAGACAGTTGGCTTAAAGGCATTTAGGGCAGAATTGAGCTACTTGTTCCTTTACGTCCCAATGCTGTTTTTAAGGATATTTCTGTGCTCAGTAACCCTGACTAAAGTCCCGTTGCCATCGTTGAAGCTGGAAATGGGATTAGAGTCTGAGATGTTTGCTTATTGTCGTTTACTCTAGACTTGAGTTTATCGTAAGAAGGACCGAGAGAGCTTTAGGAACTCTACAGGGGTTGGCCAGATAGGTCCTCATAATAAGCACCCTTTCCATTTTGCTCCTGGACGTATTTTTGTCCAGTGCTCGCCATCATACTGTAACTCCGAAGGTAATAATGGGCCTAGCTTCAGCTGTGTGTATACAATTTATCCGCCATAGGTGTGGTAGAAGCTTTTCGAATTTAAAATAAGATTTAGTCTTTATAAAAGCAATATTTAACTGGCGGGCGGGTCATTGGACCGACCTTGACCATCTTTTAAATTTAGGGTTTTCTGGTCAATCTAAGATACAAACCGAATTTCATTAAAATCGGTTTTCGCCTCAGTTTGTAAATCTATTCGGTTTTCCACATTTCTTTATTCCGAAGCAAAAATACCTCAGACACCAAATTACAGTAAATTCGAGCACAGACGCGGATTTTAGCTAAGGCCATTTCAATACGAAATCCTACAACCAAATGGAAGGTGCGGATTGTAACCTAGTTCCCTCCAGCACCCAAGGCGTTTCGGCTTTGAAATTATTGCACCCGAGGCGTAGGCGCGGATTGTAACTTAGGTCATTCTAATCACCAAGGCAGTGCGGCTTCGGTCACCTGCTCAACGCAAAATCCAGCAACCACAGCGAAGGCGCAACATGGCCCTCGAGTTGCTAGCCGGCAGTACCTGGGGCAAAAACAAAAAAACAGAAATTGGCTGGCGTGTTTTAAACTATGCAGCACTCGTGTGGTCGCCAAAGACTAGCAGAACGCAGTGGACGAAGCAACAGGCATGCCAAAATGCAGCACTACGGATCGCACCGGTAGTCTTCTGATGTCGCCATAGCACCACGTACATGACGAGGCTCAATTGCTCCATTTCAAGGTACCTAAACGGACTAAAGTACTTAGTACAAAAGTTCATAAAACAACATCTCGGCCCGACAGCGTACCGACTGAACATAAACGACATTCACAGGGAGTCGGTCTCGACTTACATCAACTGCTAACCTCTGAATGCCGTTTTGGGAACACAGCTACCTGACCTGGAAAGACAGAACCTCGTCTGCTTCCAGAGGCTCGCACCA